AAAAGGAAAAAAAATGCAATCTTACCACAAGAGGGGATGCTGGAAAATAAAACAATAGATGTTCATCACAGCGACTGGAAAAGGAGACAGGAAAACAGAGGGAGAGAAAGGAAGTAGATGGAAGAGAGGAAAGGACAAGAGGGAGTAGAAAATGGAGAAAAGAAAAGGAGAGAGAGAAAGGAGAAAGGAGATCATAGAGAACCGAGAGAAGAGAAATTCATCTTGAGGAAAAACCACGTGCCCTTATGGGACCCCGGGCAGAACTATATACAGTTAGAAATCTCAGACAGGACACTATTCCAAAGGTTTTACATGAGCATTCCGTCAAAAATCATATGAGACTTTACATGAATATTTGACTTTACAAGCAGATAAGTTCCCTTGACTTCATCTGTGAATACAAAAGATTTGATCTGGTCCCACTCCATAAGACAGTCCAATGATTTCATTGGATGCTTTTGAGTTTGTTGACTAGGGCATCGTGCACATAAAAAGGGCTGAACCATAGAATAAAATGACTACAGTCAGGTGGGATGAGCAGGTAGAAAAGGCTTTTATTTCTTCCTTTAGCAGAATTAATTCTCAGTATGGAAGAGAGGATGAAAACATAGGATATGAAAATTAACAGTAGAGGAACCATCAATACAACAATGCTTGCCGCTGTCATAATAAGCACATTCATGGAGATATCTGAACATAAGAGTTTAAGAAGAGCCAGAATCTCACAAGTAAGATGGTTAATGATGTTATTCCCACAGAAAGGCAATGCCATTGTTAGGACTGTTTTCACTAAGGAGTATAGACAGCCTATGATCCAAGACCATGCAGCCATGTGCACAAACAGCACCCTGTTCATGAGGATGGGGTACCTCAGTGGGTTACAGATGGCCACATGCTGGTCATAGGCCATCACACCCAGGAGGACACACTCAGTGGAGCTCAAACCAAGAGAGACAACCATCTGCAGAGCACTGCCACTTGAGGAGCTGGATTTTCTCTTAGCCCTAAATGTGGTGAGCATTGGGGAGATGAATGATGATGTATAACAGATGTACAAGAATGAGAGGTTTCCAAGGAGGAAATACATGGGGGTGGGAAGGTGAGAATCTAGGATACTGATGATAATGAGGAGGCTATTTCCCAGGAGGATTACCACAAACATGATGAGGCAGAGCACAAACAGAAAAAGTTGAAGCTCCGGGTATTGGGAAAGTCCTACCAGAAAGAATTGGTTACGGCTGAGTAATTCCCCATCTCTTTGTGTCCATGCCACCTTCAAGGTTTAGAAAAGGACAAGACTCAGGGAATTTTGATCTTTTAAAATGTGGATGTATCAAATGACTTTCACTTCTATTATTTTGTTTTATTCTTAGAACAGATCCTGTTCAAATTGATATATTTTTAATCTTATTTCTATGGCATTTCCATGTTTGAGTGAGGAAGAAATTAGATTATGTTAGTTTGCTCTTTTCAGAACTGGGATATATCACTTTTTTATCGAATGGTTAATTAGATTAAAAAGTTAATAAGAAAGAAACAGCCCTCTTACTGAGACCTATCTTTGAACTGAGTTACATTAGATTGTCCTGTGTTATTTTCCCCATGCCTCCATCTCTTTCTATTAACCACATAATCACATTAATTGTTGTGTTGTTGTTTTTCTTAATTTAAATCACACCTCTGATCCTTTCACTGCTTGGCTTTGGGATATCCCATTTAAATTCTAATTAACTAATCACAAGTTGATGTCCCTGTTCTGTTCTTTATATCATGGATTAATTGGTAGTTACTTATTTGCCTTTGACTATCCCTATAATCTGTCATGTTATGTCTTTCTAGATTCTTTCCTGCCAGATACAAAGTCCTCCTGTTAGAGAAACATGCTAAAAGCAAGTGAGAGAATGATCATGAGTCTGTGAGAGAGACTCTTATGATGAAATGAGTGAATATACTGATCATAATGTACTATGGTGAATATTTACCATTTTGATAAACTTTAGCCTGAGGATCTAGATCAGCGGTTCTCAACCTGTGGGTCGCGACCCCTTTGGCGGTCAAACGGACCTTTCATAGGGGTCGCCTAAGACCATCCTGCATATCAGATATTTACATTACGATTCATAACAGTAGCAACATTACAGTTATGAAGTAGCAACAAAAAGAATTTTATGGTTGGGTCACAACATGAGGAACTGTATTTAAAGAGCCAGAAGGTTGAGAACCACTGATCTAGATGAAGTTTTGTGTTCATTCAACAAAAATGTATGAAACATTGCCCTTATCTAACTTCAAGGTGATGAAACTAAATTTTCTAGGCTTATTATGAAATTAAAATTTTGTTCACAATTTAGATAAAATATAGCCATATTTGAGTAAATTATTTTATGGGACAGAAGAGGTTGGAGCCAAATTAAGTGTCTGGTCCTTAATTATGTGGTTAATTTGTCTTTAGACAGACTGAAATGGACAGATATACCAGCTTCCTGGTAAAGGAACAAGAAGATGACATGTGAATACCATATAAATAAGAGATACAGAGGGAGCAGGGAGTTAGGGAGCCAGAGAAGTGTGTGCCAGCCACTACAGGGGAAAGCGTGGATTGATGCATGGCCCAGCAAGAGGGAGAGCAATGTGAAGGCAGAAGCCAGGGCAAGCTCTGTTTGAAGTACAGTCAGGCAGTAGGGGAGCTGATCCCAGATATTAAGACCCTAGACATTGGCTTGCCATTCTTGTAATGGCTGTAGTACCTGGCAGAGGACTAAAGTGATTCATGGGGACCTAGGGAAGAAGCAGACAGAGTTTCTGGAACAAGGCGGTCTCAGTAAACACTGAATGAATGAAATCAGAAGGGAGAGATGATAGACTAGGGCTTGGAAATGTTGAAGCACAGTAATTAATCATGAGTCTCAATAAGTTCATCCTAATTGTTTCTTCATACCATATTTGTCCTGGAAAGGGGTGGAGGGTTGAAGCTATAGTCATATGGTGTGTAGGTACATTTGAGACAACAGAATATAATTCTGTACCTACCAGAGTAGCTTAGAGAAATACACTAAATATTTTCTCCTCTTTCTCATTTAAAAATTCTAAAAATAGTACTGTCTCACAGTACTGCCTTGATACCTTTGTTCTAGGAAAGGCCAGAACTGGCAATGATGACAGGTGGGCAACCCAGGCTTGGACTGGATTTCATGTGAGTCCAGTCACAGGAAGTTAAGTTTGCCAGGTTAGCAAATAAAAATAGATGACGCCTAGTTAAATTTGAATTATTTCTAATTGCTTTTGCATATGCACACTGGGATAAAAGTATTGCATAGGAAATTCTTGTACTAAAAATTACTTGCTGTTTATCGGAAATAACAAGTATCTATATTAAGTACCTCTTTAATTATATTTCTATAACTATTTGGCTCTACTCTAACATTATTTTGTTTTACATAATTTGCTTATAAAACTTCTTGCAGTTACATTTGCATTGTAATATAGCTTTATTGTGGTCACATCAAAACTATTTAATTCATTTGTCCACTGAACATTCATTAATGAGAAAACATGTTCAACATTTGCATTGCAAGCCAGTATACCGAAAATGTATTTGCATAAAGTTAAGAACTCTGAGAATTGGTTTTCAAATTTGATTTGTTGAAGCATAGAATACCATTTTTCATGGCATAAGTTGCTTTCATATTGTTCAAGATTATGTTGCATCTTTTGCTCAATAACTTTTTATGATTATTATCCACTGACAAAAAAGAGTGCTGTTTTCTAATTTTATTCTATTCTTTTTAACAGTATACATGATTATTTTTATTGTTTTAATGCTGAAGAGTATTTTATAAAAGAGTATTTTATAATGATTGATTTCAAAAGATAGTCATGACATAATTATCCACTTCAATCAGAACTTCTTGTACTGTTCAGAAGTAAAGTATGGTTTGCTCATCTCATGGAAATTGTTGGCATGGTCTGTTCTGTGTGTCTCATGCCAATGTGGGCATGACTGAAGGACAAGTTGGATAAGTTTGGGGTATTGTGTATATACAGGGTGGTAGGGCTTACAGTTGTTTGTATGGAAAATAATATAATAGTTAATAAAAATAATACAAGAATAAACTCTATTTCACATCTCACAACTGTAAACCCACTTTTGCCCAACCCTGTATTTGAAGAGAAGACATGAATGAGAAAAATTAAAATGACTGTGCATACAATCTGGCTCTTTTAGAGCGACCAGTGATAACAGTTTATGGGCTCTGCGACTCCAGGATTTAGAGGTCAAAATAAAGGATATCAGCAGATAATTTATTAAGAACAAAGCATCATTTTGACTTAAGTGTCACAGATTACTAACGCATCTCTCTATCAGATATAGTCAATTTTAATTTCCAGATCTTGACCATTTAACCTAGGTAGCAGTTTTAACTTTGCTCTTCCCGGACAGTTGTAAAGTCAGAAGAATTATTTGTTTTGTGAGTTACACTTTAATTAAATTGTATTAGCAACCTTGTCTTAATTGCTTCCAAGGGACTTCATCCCGAAAGTACTAGAAAGTTTCTAAATTCTATTCAATCCACATTGTGAACTTTAAATTGCTTTTGGGATTTAGGAACATCCTCAAAGCAGCACAGACTTGAGGTTGCTCTGGTGCTCTGTTGGCTGGTTCTTTAAAGGAGCCTCATAGTGTAATGAATGTCAAGAGCCCACCTTTCATCATTACTGGAAGTCAGTGCTATTTTGTCACTGGTAAATTATTCTTATTTTTTAGCAATAGCAATGGCAGATACTTGATGTTAATGAAAACTGAGAAGCAGATAGTTCCTTTAGTTATCTTACTGAACTTATTGAGATGAAATATATGAGATTAACAATCTCATAAAATAATAGGACTTCTGTTTCTGGCATTTTAATGTAGAAATGCTCTATATTCCAGTGAAGTGGGATATAAATAATTATAACATATTTTGCGTGACTTAAATCTTTTTATTGTGGGTAGTCTGAACATGCAGTGAGAGGAAGATCAGAAGAGCAGTTGTTAGAATGGAAGGAGCTGATTTCTGTGCAAGGAGAAGATAAAATGTATTTTCTCATACTTGGAAGTAAAAGAGTAAATTCCCTGTCACTTAAACTCTTAGATTATACATTTATTTATGGTTTGGCTCTAGACTGAGACATGTTTGCTAGAGTTATTCTGAGAACAACTTGCCATTCATTATGTGTGTCAGGTAGGAGAGTTACCTAGATGGTCCAATTTGTACTGGAAAAGACAAAGAATAACAATTTTATCTAAAAATGTTTTCTTTTACAAACACCTCTAATGCCAGTAATTAATGTTCTTAAGAGATTGCAGGTATACATTTCCTCCAAGTTAGAAATAACCAAAAGTTCTTTTTCTAAAAATACATCTTTTTGGTTTGTTCTCCTAATCACAAAACTCTTCTAAACTGAGGTTGTTACCATTGAAAAAGGAATATATATACTATTTTGTTTTAGTAGCTAAAGAATAGTGATTTTTGTTAAGGCTAATGTAGTTATTGTGGAGGAAAAACATATATATATTATTCTTATTCTTATATATAAATCTCCAATAATACTTTATATGTTTTAGATTTGTCTGGTCAAAATGTTATAGTAAAACTGCATTCAAAATAATTTCAAATTCATAATGTAAGTGAGATACATAATTTAACCCAGTTGTGTGTCTTCTGAATCTTCTTTAACAAGGATTATTTTTTTGAGCTAAAGCCTCTTTTATGAAGTATACAAGTCTAACTGATCTAGCTTAGAAGATAGTAACATTCTTATCCTATCCACCAATCCAATTTTAGGTCCATATTACCCACAAGGAAGTCACTTAAGGATGCAGACAACTCTTACAGACACTGCTTTAACAGGTCCTTCTACGTTCTGGCTACTGCAGAATTCCTTTTGGTGAAAGAAAACATTAACATGGGGAAGACCAATCAATCTTCTGTGACAGAATTTGTCCTATTGGGGCTTTCTGGCTACCCAAAGCTTGAGGCCATTTACTTTGTTTTGATCCTGTGTATGTACCTGGTGATCCTACTGGGAAATGGAGTCATCATAATCGTAAGTGTCTATGACTCCCACCTGCACACCCCCATGTACTTTTTCCTCAGTAACTTATCATTCTTGGACATTTGCTACACCAGTTCTTCTATTCCCCTATTTCTCAGCAGCTTAACTTCAAAGAAAACCATTTCCTTCTCTGGATGTGGAGTGCAAATGTTTCTCTCCTTAGCTCTGGGAACCACAGAGTGTGTCCTTCTCAGCATGATGGCATTTGACCGCTATGTGGCTATATGCTTCCCTCTGAGATACCCCATCATTATGAGCAAGACTTCCTATGTACCCATGGTTGCTGGGTGCTGGATTGCAGGGGGTGTCAATTCTGTGTTGCAAACCTCCTTTGCCATGCAGCTTCCTTTCTGTGGGAATAATGTCATTAATCATTTTACTTGTGAAATCTTAGCTGTCTTAAAATTGGCCTGTGCTGATATCTCTATAAACGTTATTTGCATGGCTGTTGCTTATATGATTTTTCTTGTTGTCCCAGTACTTTTCATTTTTGTTTCTTATGTTTTGATTATGTCCACCATCCTGAGAATTCCTTCTGCAGAGGGAAGGCGCAAAGCCTTCTCCACCTGCTCTGCCCACCTAACAGTGGTGATTATATTCTATGGAACCGTCTTCTTCATGTATGCAAAACCCAAGGCTAAAGACTCTTCCAGTGCAGACAAAGGATACATCACAGACAAAATCATCTCTCTCTTCTATGGAGTTGTGACACCCATGCTCAATCCTCTCATCTATAGTTTGAGGAACAGAGATGTGAAGGCAGCTGTGAAGAATATGTGTCAGAAATGCTCCTCACAGGGAACGTGAATGCTATTAAAAAAATTCCTTTACTCTGAATGCAGGTCTTGTTCTCACCTGAAACTTCCAAAACAAAAATAAGAGTTGGTGGTACCATTAATCCCTGAAACTAATTTTTCTGTTCCTGGTATTTAAATGTGAGAGAAATCTAGGGCCTACCCATTCCCTTCATGACTGGATTAAAGAGAAAAGGTACAGAAATTTATGGGTAAAAGGATTTGTTAGGTCTGATCAAATAATTGAATCAATGCCCCCTCCCCTGGGAACTGACCTTTGGGCCACTTCACAATGGACGTTCCACTTGCTTAGACCACATTCCACTTGCTAACATGATTCTCTCTCCCCTCTGGACTATCCTAGAATCCGGACCTGCACAAGAGAATTCTCCACCCAGAAAAAGCCTGCCTACAGTCCTTTAAAAACCTGACTCCCTGTCTTTGGGTGCTGGCACCATTTTGGGGCTTATCCCATCTGGTATCCAGATGACTGAATTTATAATCCCTCACCACTTTGGCCTCATGCATTCCTCCTTCGGCGACCTTAACAGGATTCTCATTCCAACCATCTACTTTCTCATGGATAACAAAATTTAGTTCAGGAATGATGGATTTTATAATCTTATGTAAAAGGAAATATTATTTTACTAACTTAACCTCTTATCCTCTACATGCATTAGTTTTCTAGTCTCATCTCTTTTTTAGGAAGAAAATAGAAAGGGCCTTGTGAAGGGGCAGAGTACTATATGAACTCAACATTAAGTGATTCTTATAGGGGATAATCTTTGAGCATTTAGATCAACGGTTCTCAACCTGTGGGTCGCGACCCCTTTGGCGATCGAACGACCCTTTCACAGGGTTCGCCTAAGACCATCCTGCATATCAGATATTTACATTACGATTCATAACAGTAGCAACATTACAATTATGAAGTAGCAACGAAAATAATTTTGTGGTTGGGTCACAACATGAGGAACTGTATTTAAAGGGCCAGAAGGTTGAGAACCACTGATTTAGAGGGAAAGAGTGAGGACTTCAGGGCATCAGGTGCCTGGCCTGTGTACATGGCACAGAGAGACAAGAGTAGAAAAATGAAGCTATTTTTCATAGGGATGAACCGTGGCATGTTTGAGTGAAAACCTTTGTTACTGATAAATTACTCAAAAAATTACTTAATTTCTAAAGAACTTGGTTGCACAGTTAATGGGTTTAGAGTGTTACAGATAAGTATTTTTTCAGTTACATGAATTTCCTATAGAATGTGAACTTTCCGTTCATTCAGTCATTTATTCCTTATTTTGATTATTCAATCAACCAGTAATTACTGAACACCTATTTTAGCTCAGGCATTGTGCTAACTATTGGTGATACCAAAAAACTAAACAACATGGAAACAAAAACAAAACACGATCAAGGAGCACACAGTCTTGTGGAATACAGACTGACACATAAATTGGGGACAAAAAATGTTAAATAATATTAATAACCTTATCCTCTCCTCTACCTTCTAAGCTGGATATTTTGTTTGTGTTCATAATATGTTAGGTCTTTATTGGGCTGAACAGAGTAATGGGTGGATTTGGAGTAGTTTAAATGGGATAAACTGAAAGGGCTTGGCCATCTCTAAGAAACAAATGAAAGGGGACAGTGAGAAAGTGGGGATAATGCAACAAGGAAGAAAGCATTGCACACTAGAGATTTTTTTTTTTTTTTACTGTTTTGATTTTTATCTTTATTGTTGAGATTATTACAGGTGTCCTTCTTTTTTCCCCCCAATTATCCCCCTCCACCTGGTTTCTGCCCATCCCAGGCCTTTGCCACCCTATTGTCTTTGTCCATAGGTAATGCATATATACATGTAAGATCTTTGTTTAATCTATTCCCATTCCCTCAACCCCCTTCCCTCAGAATCATCAGTCTGTTTCATTTCCTTGCCTCTGATTCTGTTTATTCTTTTCATTAGATTTTGTATTCATTTATTTTGAGTTTTAGATTCAATTGTCGATAGTATGTATTTGTTGCCATTTTGTTCATATTTTTTTTATCTTTTTCTTCTTTTTAAAGAATACCCTTCAACATTTCATATAATACTGGTTTGGTGGTGATGAGCTCCGTTAGCTTTTTCTTGTCTGTGAAGATCTTTACCTGACCTTCAATTCTAAATGATAGCTTTGCTGGGTAGAGTAATCTTGGTTGTAGGTGCTTGCTATTCATCACTTTGAATATTTCTTGCCACTTCCTTCTGGCCTGCATAGTTTCTGTTGAGAAATCAGCTGACAATTGTATGGGCATTCCCTTGTAGTTAATTAACTGCTTCTCTCTTGCTACTTTTAAGATTCTCTCTTTGTCTTTAGCACTTGGCATTTTAATTATGATGTGTCTTGGTGTGGTCCTCATTGGCTTCCTCTTGTATGGGACTTTCTGTGCTTCCTGGACTTGTAAGTCTATTTCTTTCACCAGATAGGGGAAGTTTTCTGTCATTATTTCTTCAAATAGGTTTTCAATATCTTGCTCTCTCTCTTCTGGCACCCCCATAATGTGAATGTTGGTATGCTTGAAGTTGTCCCAGAGGCTCCTTACACTATCTTCATATTTTTGTATTCTTTTTTCTTTTTGTTCTTCTGGTTGGGTGTTTTTTGCTCCCTCATATTTCAAATCATTGATTTGCTTCTCAGCATCATCCACTCCACTGTCGAATCCCTGTATATTCCTCTTTATTTCAGTCAGTGTATGCTTAATTTCTAACTGGTCCTTTTCCACTTTTTTTGGAGGTTTCTAGAAGATTCTTAAGTAACCTTATAACCATGGTTTTGAACTCTACATCGAGTAGTCTGCTCTCTTCCATTTCTTTCGTTTGCAACATGCCTCCCTGTCTCCACATTTTGGCTGCTTCCCTGTGTTTGTTTCTATGTATTGGGTAGAGCTGCTATGTCTCGTTGAGCTGGTAGAGTGGCCTGGTGTAGTAGGTGTTCTATAGAGCCCAGTGGCTCAGCCTCCCCAGTCACCTGAGCTGGGAGCTCTAGGTGCATCCCTTTGTGGGCTGTGAGCACAGTCCTGTTGTAGTTGAGACTTGATTGCTGTTGGTGTTGCTGAGAGGAATTAACCTCCAGGCCAACTGGCTGTGGGGACCAGCTGAAACTACAGTGGAAGAGCTGCTGTGCAGGGGACACCCTTATGGAGCAGGACTTGCTTCAGAGGGGCTTTGGTGCTCACTGAGTCTGCCCCTTGAGTGTGTCACTTATGGATGTGTAGAGTTGTAATCTGGTATGGTCTCACACTGACCACTGGGTACACTGGATCTTGGGTCTCCAGGGAGATGCAAAGTCAGCCACTGCCTGGGACTACCCAACAGAAGATACAGAGAGATCTGAAGACTCCTCCTCTTTGTATTGGGTTTGGAAGTGCCTAGATGACGCCCACCTATGAAGCAATGCAAGCTGGTGCTGGTGCTGGGTTTTGGGCCGTTTATTGGTTTGAGAGATTTTTATCCTGAGCAAGGAAAGGCCATTCATATTCAAAAGCTGCTGCATATAGCTTGGGTGAAGTTGTAAATTGGATGAGGTGGGGTCTTAGGGAATCACCAGGGTGGAGCAAGCAGAAATGGCTGCCAGTCAGCCCTGAAACTGCAGAGGTACCAGCATAGGAACAGTGATCCCTGAGAGCACCTCTACCTGGGAGCTAGTCACCCTGAGTTCCTGCCTTGATGCCAGACAATCCAGTTCCTCCTCATATGTGTCTGTGTTCCCTAGCACCTCACCCTAGTGTTGGAGCTCAGAGGAAGTGGGAGCTTGTAAGTTCCATTCATGGTGCCTGCCTTTTAAGAGAAACAGCTGTGTCTCCAGCAGCCTTTGTGTCACCGAGCCCCAGTATGCACTGGTTTTTACAGCCCGTTCTTCTTACTGCCTGTAGGAACTTCTTTTCCTAGCTCTGGGACCCTGGGCTGGGGGTCTGGTGTGGGGTTGGGACCCCTTACTCCTCCAGGTGGCCTCTGCAGAGATGATATCCCTCCTGATTAAAAAAGCCACACATGGCCCTACCTGGTTTTACTCAGTGGATAGAGCGTTGGCTGGTGGACTAAAGGTCCCAGGTTCGATTCCAGTCAAAGGCACATGCCCGGGTTGTGGGCTCGATCCCCAGTAGGGGGCGTGTAGGAGGCAGCCAATCAATGATTCTCTCTCATCATTGATGTTTCTATCTCTCTCTCCCTCTCCCTTTCTCTCTGAAATCAATAAAATATATATTTTTTAAAAAACCATACATGTGGGCGTCAGACCAACCTGTTCCACACATTTGTACACCCTACCAGTCTCAGTGTGTTTTCTTCTTTACTTCTCTAGTTGTAGGACTTCCATTCAGTTAGCTTTCAAGTGGTTCTGGATGATGGTTGTTCTATATTTTAGTTGTAATTTAGATGTGGTTGTGGGAGACGGCGACTACAGGCATTTACCTACACCACCATCTTCCTTTGAATCTCTCCAGATGGTTTTCAATCAAGGAGTGTCTCTCAAACTTTAATGCATTTATAAACCACATTGGGAGTCTTTGAAAAATACAGATTCTGATAGACTAGGGCTGAGGTGAATCCTGAGTTCTGCATGTATGAACATGTTACAGGGTGATGCTGATGGCTCCTTTTCCACAGAGCACACAGAGTAGCAAGGCCGCTTAGATTGTCTCTCTTCAAAACCTGGGAGAGCACCTCTGCGGCTTCAACTGTGTATAGAGTGGTAATTGGGTAGTACACAGTGTGAAATGGAACGTTCTAGTGAGATTTGAAGGTGAGACTGCTGTGTGGTTTATTGCAAATGGGTTCAGGTTATTCACGATTTTAGATATACAAGCAACCAAATTGCATATAGGTTGTCCATAGGAAAGTAATTAGACTTGTTGAATTTTCAGTTAGGGCCAATATTTTTAAAATAATGGATTTTGGGTCAACTAAAGCACCAGAGTTTTTCATAAAAATGCATGGAGCAAATGTCTTCAATTTGAAAACAGAATTAAAAAGTAAAT